AAATGTAGTTATTTAGTACAGTAATTTTGAAATCCTAGATTGTCCTTAGAAATGGATCATCTTCCTTCCTGAATATTTCTTCTAGGAGGACATCAACACTGTAACTCCTGGTTGATAAGGACTTACAATGTTGTTCTCCTAGTGTCTGGCATACATTATGCATTCTGTAAGCATTTTTCTTTGGTTTCTTTTTTTCTTCTTTTGCCAGTGAAGATGGTTTTCCTGGTCCACTCTGTAAAATAAGAATTTTCATATGAATTATTTACAGATATTTATATTCTTAAGAAGCAACACAACAGAAAAATTTGAATTAGAAGGTTCTTAGCTCAAGACATTCAAATAGATTGGTTCTGTTTAATAGTACGAAATCACCCAGCTGAATCAGAACCATATACTGCTTATTATATGGTAACTTTAAGCATAATATTCTATAGACAGTAAGTTTTAGTAAATATTTGTTGAATTGTATCAAGTAAACCATTATATTGAGTTTAGAACAAGGAGCAATCAGTGGCTGTATAAAGTATTAGATCACGTTAGAAAAGGTCAGGAATAGGAGAGTCTTTAATTCATTTCTCATTAGTTTTCATTTTACTTTTGGTGGTTGTAAATGGAATGGCTCTAGATTGAGAAAGTTGACATGAAAAATGCAACAATTTAGAAAGTTAAATTTGGCAAGATGGTAAGATGGATTGGAGCAAGGGATTCCCATATTAACAAGGTGCTTGTTTTTCCTACTTATTCCTCTAAATCAAGTAACTACTTTTTTTTACCTTTAATCTTATAGTTTTCAATTTATGCTATGTATTCTATAATATTATGAGAACAGATAACACAATGAAATATATGTTATATTAATTCCCTCAGCTATCTTGTAATAGGACTTTTAGTATGACACCATAAATACACAAGTGCCCTCACTTGAAATGCTCTTGGAGAATGTTCCTTTATTCTTCTGTAGGAAATAAAAGATAAACATTGAACATATTCATTTAAATAGCTATTAAAATTAATTACTGAAAAACATTTAGAATAGTATTTTCCTGGCTTTTTAAAAATAAAGATAAATTTATCAACTACCAACTAAAATCTGTTTTCTTCTACTTATTTACCCTCCCCCTTTCCATCCCCAGGGTTTAAAGTCATATTTTTAAACTTATTTTAGTTGAGTTGTTTTCCTTAATATCTGTCACATATATTTGAGTGACACATTTGTTGAATGTTCTGGAGGCCTTTATGCAGAGCCTGCTAAACTTAAAGCCTTGGTTCTTTCTTCAAAGGAGTCAAATTAATAATTGTCCTAAGAGAAGCAGGAAACTTCTGGGTCTTGACGAACTGGCAGGGAGGCTCAGGCCATGTCTCCCTACAGCCTGGAGGCTGTGTAGATTTGATTGACCAGTCTGCACAAAATTGAAAAGCCTTCTTTTGAATGGCAGCCTGCCACCATAAGTGTTTGTCAGTGTGGGCACTGAAGCACAATAGCATTTGGAAGGCAAATAAAATATAGTTGAAAAAATATATATAGCTAAAAATCAGAACAAAGTTGAAGGGAAATGACTATATTGGAAGGAGAGAAGAAAGGATGACAATCCCTTTACTTTTGTGAAGACATAAAACTTCATTAATTTATGAAAGGAATCTTAATCATTGAAAATATAAGTAAGATAGCACCCATAATTGAACAACCTCTGTGTTAATCTTAGAAGAATGTTCTTTCTCAACTAGCATGGGAAGTGATTTGTTCAACTATGTAATTGTGGAAGTTGCAGGGTTTTATAATGACAAGATGAAAATGAGATATAAAAGACAGTTTCAACTGTCTTTCGAGGGAAATCATAAAATTGGTGTTTTGTAAGTGATAAAATGAAAAAAATGCTTTAATGTGTCTAATAAATTAAAAGAATACATGTTTCCCTATTGATGTTATTTAGCTGAATTTCTGATATATTGGTACTTATTGACCTTATCTATTGATTGTGGCATTTATAAAACTGTTGCTGAGTTTTCATATCTCATTACCACATTCCTGTTTTCTGAGGTTTATCTCTTGATTGTAGATAACAAGAAAGTTTCTCTGAGATTCACGATCTGTTAGCATTATAACATAAGTTATATTACCTAGAAACCATCTATTTTTGGTTTTAAGAGTTGTTGTTTTTTAATTGTGTAATAAGCATCAATAATGAAAAAAATTTCATCTTAGGATTTATTCATTATTAGTGTAGGAATATTTAGAAGATTAATCATAAGAATTCAAGATATATAATATGATGTCTAAGATTACAATCACTGAATATTGATTAATAACATGAATAATTATCTCCATAATTTTATCAATAATAAGAATTGATTTATGGGGATCCAGATTCTCCTAAAAGAACAGAATAGTTGTTCCCTATCTAGTCTTATTGAATAATTTTGATACTAATAAACATGACTATGTGAATATTTTATTAGTCAAAAGTGCTATGATATTCTTAAATTTGTGATTTCTTTCTAAGACATCTTATAATTACTAGAAGGTACATATTTTGGAGAAAAAAACAATTTCCATACTTTTTTTGGTAGAAATTAATAATTTGATCTCATTTTGAAAACTGCTTCATGTTATTTTTATAAAGATGATTGTCTGTTCTGAATTCATGATGAGACAATTATAACTTTTACAATTCTTTCTTTCTTGAAGCTTAATAATTCTTTGCAGTATTCTACTAATAATCGTGCTTAACACATTAGTTTGAAATCTACTCAAACTTCAGTATTACACTACTTTCCACCAGCTGAATTCCGTATTAAAGATATGATTCTTACATTTCAGGTAGTGGTATCTAGGGGTTGAAGGTAGGAAAAGATTCCTATCATAATAACACTTTACTCCTGCTTCAGACCAGTGACAATGACCTTCCAAGGATCATCATATCTACATATCAATGTAGCTTTATTTATTTTAAAAAATTCTAAACTATGTCTATTTTAATATACATTTAAAAGTAACACAAGATTACTTGAAATAAAAATAAAGGATACTCACTTTTATTTTTTAAGGCCATTATTATGTGAATATGTAAAGTCATTTAAATAGCTGCATTTGATATTATAAATCTTTTGTGAGTTATTTTCTGCAATTGAATTGAGCTTATAGTTTTTTATACATATATACAATTTCTGAAAAATACACACTATGATTATTTCTGACTAGATTGAAAGCTTACATTTGTATTATAGTATAAATTAGTTATAAATTCTATTTTATTGTATTCAGTTGCATTGTTTTCATCAGGCAATTTATCACATAGGTGTATGTGAAATTTCTTCATTTATTAAATTTCAGATTATGTATTTCAAGCCAGAGCAAGACTTTAAACATTTTTCCATAAGTATAGCTTCAGGTAAACAAGCAATTTTAGTCCTGAAAATAGCTTCTGCTTCTGTCAACACGTTGTTTATTTTTTCTCTGAGATAAAAAGTTCAGTTTTCTGATATTTGTACCAAGATAAAGTCAGTAAACAAGATTAATATAGTGTGGAAAAGGTTGTCAGCAGCCCTGGCAAAGGAAATAAGTTGCCTGTACATAGAACACACTGTAAACTGAATAAAAGTGTCAGGTCCACCATGAGATAATGTGATCATGAACCTCTAACAAAGCATGACATAGGCACAGTCGGCTTTTCTCATAGCCACAGTGTAGAAAATGGATTACTGTATTCCAGGGATACCCAGTGGAATAGCATGAAAACCGCATTCTGAGATGAACGCAGGCTGTGGTCCTGGAGTTGAGCCACATGTTTACCTGTAGTGCTCCAACTATAGGCTTATTCATGTTATCCTCTGTGTACATTTGCAATATTTGCATTGGAATTTCAGAGTATATGCTGGTATCCTTGTTACCCAAGCAATATAAGAAAGAATACATTTTTAAAAATCATTAGTGTTTTTTGGAGGTACTCTACCACCTCATTATGTCTTTTTGAAAATTCTCTTCTATGTAAATGACACTGTGATAATGAAAAAGTTATTTTTATTTCTCTTTGTGGAGCATAATTTAAAATCTTTTGCTGCAAGTTTATGACTTGTCACATTTATTCATGCACAGTCCTGTTTTTTTGTGCCATTTGAGAATCTCTGTAAGTTGGGAAAGTTGTGAAATTCCTTAAAAATGGGAGTACCTGACATCATCAAGAAAACATTTAATATTTTCTTTATCAGATCTCCAATTTCATTTAGAAACAAAGGAGTAAAATGTTATTCTTCTAGGTAAAAGTACATTTTGTTCTATGTAAACACATATATGATTTCTAACTGTGAGAAAATTATGAAAAAGACTACTCATTACTTTCTTGATCTAAGTTTTTGTGTGCATTTAAATGTGTACATTATATCCACCTACAAAAACATTGGTCCTTGAAAATAATTGCTCAACACTGATCTCTTTGTTGATATATAATCAAATGTATGCCCAGTTTGACAGTATTTAGAAATAGTCACTAGTCCCTTTCTTTCTCTTGCTCTCACTCACTCTCTTTTTGTTTTATATGTGTATACTGGAAATTCAACCCAGGGCTCTTTACCACTGAATTACATTCCCAGCCCATTTTCTTTTCTTTATTTTGAGACAAGGTCTCACTAAGTTGCTTAGAGCCTTGCTGAGGCTGAATTTGTGATTCTCCTGTCTCAGCCTTCCCAGCCACTTGAATTACAGATATGCACCACTACACTTAGCACTGGTCTGTTTCTTACAAAGGATGTTTATACTGTTGTAAATACACTTTTACAATTTGAGCAGAGGAACTACAATAACCAAAAAAACAAACAAAAAATTCTCACCAAGAATTAAATTATACTTTTCTTACATACCATTTTGTCTTAATCAAAGAAATTAATGTCATATTCTCCTTTTCAGAGTGACACTCTCAAATGGATTTGTCCCTATTATACACTGTCTTTTTACAATCCAACCTGAGACTAATTTATATCTGTTTTGTTTTAAAATCTCCCTTCAGGTACCCACACCTAATCCAGTCAATAACAAGAGGATGGTTCACTTTTCCCCAGATTCTCATCACCATGAGTGAGTACTCATTGTATTTACAAAACCTAGTTGGACTGTTCTGCCTATTTTTGGGGGGGGGGAAATTGGCAGCTATTCCCAGTAAATGTGGCTTAATTTGTGTCTATCTTTAAAAAGAGTAAATAATCATATACCAATAACAATAGTGTAAGCACAATTTAAATGAAATCCATGACAAAAATTTAAATATTTTTAAATATCTTATTTGTGATAGAGTTTGAAATTTTTGCATTATTGAAATATACACACTATCTGAAAACATTTGAATTTTCATGACACTGAGTAGCATCAAACCCCTCAACTACTCAGATGAAAGAATAAGTAACTAACTGGTTTTTCCCTTACTTCTTTGCTCTTTGAACCTGCCTACAATTTGGTAATAATGGTCTAGAGGTCTAAAGATACCAGAATATATTTTGATATAGAAACAAAAGGAAAATGTAGCTGGGTCTAGGGCTCGGTGGTAAAGCACTTGCCATGTGCTTTACCACATCCCCAGCATTGCAAAAAATAAATTTGAAATAATTTTTTAAGGCAATACAAAAGGAAGATATTATTGGGTCAGTTTGTATGACTAGGGTTTCTTAGTACTCAGATCTATAAAAAATAAAAATATGAATAGAATTGATATTAAATATAATATTAATCAGTATACATGAACTAATTTTGGAAAGAACACATGATAACTTTCTAATAATTTTATTTTTTTAGTTTTAATATTGCAAAATTTAGTTATGCTTGCTTAATAATTGAATATGGTTGATGATTGTTTGAGACCTTAAATAACTATTATCAGCTACCTATAATTGTTATTTTCATTGACCAACAGATCCATCCAACTTTTGAAATTTTTTTTAACTGAATTGGTTTCTAGTCAAAGAAATTTAAAAATGTGAGTGTTTTTGTATACACAAATTTTTCTTGCAGAGGAGTTTGTTAGGGTAACTGATAAAAGGGTTTAGAGCATTAAAATGTATTAAGATAGCTGGCCATGCTAATGCACACCTCTAATCCTAGTGACTTGAGTGCTAAGACAAGAGACTCACAAATTCAAAGCCAGCCTCAGCAACTTAGAGAGGCTGTAAGCAACCCAGCCAGGCCCTGTCTCAAAAAATGAAAAGGATGTGGCTCAGTGGTTAAGCATCCCTGGGTTTAACTGTCTGTACCCCCTGCTAAAATGTATGTGTACTCACATGCACACACACAAGTATATTTTAGGACAGAATTGGAAATACATATGTAAGGAGAAAAATTAACCAAGTAGAATTTTAAGCTTTTAAAAAAGTGTGATCATGATTATAGATATCAAATTACAGTGATTCTTAGATTCCACTATATATATTTAAGAATGGCTTAGTGGTTTTATTTTAAAAATCAATATATAATTGATATAAGATTAAATTCTTTGCATGGAATATAATTATAATAAACATATTTTGTTCCAGTGAACTTGGCAAGGAGACTCTCTTGTTCTACTTTGAGTTACACAATATACAGCACACTGTCTTACGTATCAAATCATGGGCTCTCAGGTTAGGATGATCAAGTTCTGCTGACCAACACTGGAAAGTGGATATGAAGGGACCAGCTAAATATTTGTTGAATGCAAGTGGTAGAAGAAGCAAGTACTAGAGCTAGAATGGATCGTAGAGGCTGTCTAATTCACTGCCTGAGAACTTAAGGCTCAGAAAGGTTAAATAACTTGCTTCTAACTAACTCACAGAAGTTACAGGATAGACCCACAAGAAATTAGCAATAAAAGTGATCATCTCTAAATGATGGAATTATAAGTTGTTTTTTTTTTTAATTTTATTGAGGTGGGGAGGCATAGGAGTACTTTTTGTTGTTTTCCAGATTTTTTTTTCCATGGACATGTCAGGAAAGCCACAATGAATATTATGAAAGAATGATACCTTAATATAGTTATATTACTAATTCTTTCAAGTAGAGGTAATTTCATGTGTGTTGATACATTCTATAGCCCCATAAGTACCTCGAAGTAAGTGGGAATGGGTATGGACCCTGTTTTGAATATGAGAAAACCAAAATTTGAAGTAGCTCTGCTACTGTTATGTGTCATGACTGCTAAGTGGTAGATAAAGAACTCAAAACCAGCTCAGTATTCTTCTGTTACAACTCAGTTAAATTAAGGATCATAAGCTCCATGACTTATTGTCATATCTTGTTATGTCCTTTTATTCTACATATTTGAATTGCTTGAAAATATTTTATTTTTCAATTTCTTTTTATGATTTTACATTATTTCTATGTGATAATGAGTAATAATCAAAAAGGATAAGACGTATTCCACTTAGGATGGTAATCTGGCTCACAAATGATCTCATTTCCAGTGTTCTGTGAACTAGTTGTCTTCAAGACACTCCTTCTTGATACCTGCATAACAGTATAGGGGAATACAATAGTTAAGTGTGGTTTTATTTAAACTTTATTAAAGATTACCTTTGGGCATGTAACAAAGAACCTGTAAGAATGGAGAGAAATAGTCAGTAAACTCCCCGATATTTTCAAACTCCTAATTTATTAGTAAATCAATGGCTTCTATTTTTATTCTGTTGATGTTCCTTTAAGGCAGTATCTGTCTTGCTTTGTAAATTCCCTCCAAAACCAGGGCATACATAACCATAGGCATAAATAAAATAATTTCACTTGTTAAAATTTCATTCTTAAAATAGATTTTAATAAATGCCGCAGTCTGGCTGGACACAAAATCACGAGCTACTCATAGCCTTGTAGATTCAAACAGCAATTCTTTATTCCCGAACTCTCACCGGCACGTTCTGGGGAAAATGCACCGGCACTCTACACGCACGTTCTGGGAGAATCCACCAGCACTCTACACGCACGTTCTGGGAGAATCCACCAGCACTCTACACGCACGTTCTGGGGAAAATCCACACCTCCACTGGGCTGTGCATCCCAAAATACTCTGAATCCCGCGAGAACTCAAGGAGCAGGATACGCCCTATTCCCTGCAGGATACACCCTAAACCTGGACCCACCCTAATCCAGCAGGATCCTCCCTAAACCCGCATCCACCCTAAACCCAGATCCGCCCTAATCCCTGAGCAAGGTCACCATTCAAATCAAAACTCTCAAACATTCATGCAATGTCACTGCAAATGACCTGGGTCCAAGGCAAGCCCATTTCCACAATGGAGAGTCCTCCCTCTAAGCAACATGGGGTAGGCTGACAAGGAAATTGCCATGCGTCATTCCTACTTGGCTATGGCTCTCAGCAAATAAATATGGCAAAATATACTACAATCTCACAAACTTTTAAAAGTTTTTAATTCATGATTCATATGGTTAGATGGCCAGTCCCACAGTTACCAAAGACTGGTATGAAGCAGTCTTGAAATGGCCAGTCAAAACACACAGCCTCCTGAACCGAGTAAAGGAAATGGACGTTTCAGAGTTAGTAGAACAATACCTAGCATAGTATTTGATATGAAAAAGCTCACCTTACCAAAAGTTTTCAGCTCAAAATATGAGAAGAATGGAATAGGGCAATACAAGTCTGGGTAGTTTCTATATAGTGATATTTTATAATAAATCCCATTATATTGTTGGTACTGATGTTAAATGTTGACCCCACTGTCCCTCTTCAGGTGGAAATTAGTGTAATGGATGTCATAGTAGACACTGGACATTTATTTTTTAAGACTGTAAATTGGTAGCTACCATTATTCCTATTTCTTCCTCACCTTTTTCCTCAGAGGTGCTGGGAACTGATGGGATACTAAAGTTGACAGGGTAGAGATCCTACTGCTCCTCACAATTCAGCCAAGTTTAAGCAAACTTTACTTCATGCACAAACTGCCCCACTCAAGCTTGAATAATACTTTAGCACATAGAATATGGGAAGCATAAATCTCAAACAAATAACCAGGTCACAAGTATGAACAGTTAAGGAGAACCTCAGGTTCCACTCCTGAACATCTTTCTACTCATACTGCAAAAACAGAGAGAAGTCTCAAGAACAAAAAGATAACTACACACCAAAGGATGCATGCCTAAAAGAGGAAGAGGAATTCATTTCAACAGATGCAAAAGTCCAAGATCTCTGAAAACATGAGGAAAAAAGCAAACAAGTTTCTCCTTCCCACCCAAATTTACAGTGCCCCAACAAAGGAACCCATAGATAAGGAAGAGGGTGAAATTTCAGAGAAAGAATATAAAAATGATTAATGAAATGTTCATTGAGCTAAAAGATCTAAGGAATGAACTTAAAAGAGCAAACCCAGGAGTGAAAGACCATTTCAACATAGAAATAGAGGAGCAGAAAAGAAACCAATGAGAACTCTTAGAAATAAAAGACACAATGAATCAAATAGAAAATTGACTTGGAAGTATACAAACAGATTATATTACATGGAAAACAGGATTTAAAGCCTCAAAGACAGAACTTCAGGTTTTGAAGATAGGGCACATGAACTTTGATATTCCGTATGCAGTAGGGGGAGAAAAGACCATGAGCAGAATCTACAAGAACGCTGGCAAATCAAGATGCCATATTTGAGAGTCATCAGATTAGAACAGAACATGGAGATACAGGCATTAAAAACCTTTTCATTGAAATAATAGCAGAACATTTTTCTGACCTTAGAAATCAGATGGACATCACCTATAGAAGGATGAATATAGAACTCTAAATAGACAACATCAAAAGAAAACCTCTCCAAGATACATCATAATAAAAACCACCTAACATAGAAAATAAGGAAACACCTTAAAAATTTCTAGAAAAATGTCAGGTTACATTACAGATAAACTAATAAGCCTACTTCTGACTAATCAACTCAGACCCTAAAATCAAGGAGGGCCTGGAATGAAATATTCCATGTTTTGAAAGAAAACAATTGCCAGCCACAATTGCTATATCCAGCAATCCTCTCTTTCAAAATTGATAAGTAAAAAAAATTTCCATGATAAAGATAAACTTAAAGAATTCATGATCACTAAGCCAGCGCTACAAAAAA